ATGATTTTACTATAGGAATGCATTTAGAAATGATTTGAATACTAGCTCTTTATGGAACCTGGAATATTATGGCTAGGATTTATGAAACAAATCCATCAAACTTTCATTCCTCTAATGATTCCATATCTAGTGATATAGCAAATACTAAAAGCATCTATAGAAATTCATTGCAAATGATTTTACTATAGGAATGCATTAGAAATGATTTGAATACTAGCTCTTTATGGAACCTGGAATATTATGGCTAGGATTTATGAAACAAATCCATCCAAACTTTCATTCCTCTAATGATTCCATATCTAGTGATATAGCAAATAGTAAAAGCATCTATAGAAATTCATTGCAAATGATTTTACTATAGGAATGCATTTGAAATTATTTGAATACTCGCTCTTTATGGAACCTGGAATATTATGGCTAGGATTTATTAAATGAACCTATCCAAACTTTCATTCCCTCTAATGATTCCATATCTAGTGATATAGCAAATACTAAAAGCATCTATAGAAATTCATTGCAAATGATTTTACTATAGGAATGCATTAGAAATGATTTGAATACTAGCTCTTTATGGAACCTGGAATATTATGGCTAGGATTTATGAAACAAATCCATCCAAACTTTTATTCCCTCTAATGATTCCATATCTAGTGATATAGCAAATACTAAAAGCATCTATAGAAATTCATTGCAAATGATTTTACTATAGGAATGCATTAGAAATGATTTGAATACTAGCTCTTTATGGAACCTGAATATTATGGCTAGGATTTATGAAACAAATCCATCCAAACTTTCATTCCTCTAATGATTCCATATCTAGTGATATAGCAAATACTAAAAGCATCTATAGAAATTCATTCAAATGATTTTACTATAGGAATGCATTAGAAATGATTTGAATCCTAGCTCTTTATGGAACCTGGAATATTATGGCTAGGTTTTATGAAACAAATCCATCAAACTTTCATTCCTCTAATGATTCCATATCTAATGAATATAGCAAATACTAAAAGCATCTATAGAAATTCATTGCAAATGATTTTACTATAGGAATGCATTAGAAATGATTTGAATACTAGCTCTTTATGGAACCTGGAATATTATGGCTAGGATTTATGAAACAAATCCATCCAAACTTTCATTAATGGATCCATATCTAGCGATATAGAAAATGATTGGCTACCTATTCTAGAGTAATTTTTTTGCAGTAAATTCATCAAAATATTTTTAGGTTGCTTCTCCTAGACATTTCTTTTAATGTTACCTTGCTCCTGGCTTAGTTAATTTTAAAAATATCACGTATGAAGTTATCTCTTTTTTGTGATGGTAATGAATTAGTTTCTGAAAGTGAATGTCTGATGGAGCCACGATTACCGTTTGTAATGTAAAGCCCATCCTCTAAATGATTGGTCAAACGTTACAACAATTGAGCGAAACCTACAAGTGCTCTCTCTCTCTCTCCTTGTATGTGTGTATGTGTGTGTGTGCGTGCGTATCTGCGTGCGTGTGCGTGTGTGTGAAGCTCGATGTACGATGAAGAATTTGAATAGGTGTGCGGAAAATGTCCCGGATGTACGTCTGCGTGTCTGTATGGTGGGAGCGGAGAGGAAGAATAGAAACGGCAACATCAAGACTCATTGAATTGGACACAGAAAGAGAAAAACAGGGGTAAGAAAAGAAACAGTAGAGTTGGAGGGGAGCGCGGATGGATGATGAGGGACGTGTGGATAGTCACTCGATGGCTTCAAGAATGAAGGGTCCAGCAGAGAGGAAATAAATAAGAAAGCCACGGAAATTGTCCGCCGTTCAAAATGCTACAACAATGGCATCCAGGCGATAATAATAATAAAAAAAAAGACCTGATATAATGGAGAGAAGCAGACGATAACCAAGAGATCGAATAAAAGCACAAGGAAAGTGAAACGAAGAAATAAAAATGGAGGAGATACAAAAAAAAAGTGGTGTTTTAGGCCAAGATTGACGGACAAGGGTTTATGACAATTTAACCTCTTGTTAGCTCGGCATTTTTGGTGTTGCTTAAACTGTTTTTAGCGGTACAACTGAATGTGCTGCCCTAAATAACCGGTAAAACAAAGCGGAAAATACAGTCAGCTGTCAGCCATTCTAAAGGGTATGCATATTGATGTTTTTTTTTTTGTTTTTTTTCCCTTTTACTCCGAAAGAATTGAACTAAGGAAAATGGCGGACATATTTGATGCCATCTTGAACCGGACATCAAAATTACATTCTCTCCACTATAAGATATCTATATCGGTGTTTTCACCAGTTCTATATTTAGACACTCACAATGCGTCATATTACTGTTATAATGTAATATCTCAGTAATTAATGAGAACATGTTGCTAATACATTGATTTTTGATTATTCTCTTACCTTTCTTTACTCTTAATATATTAAAAACATAATTTATTTTTCGATGCCTAACTAAATATCCGAGATTGCTCATACAGAAAATGCAACCAATACAATTGAGAAA